TTTACGTCAGGAGGACGTCCCAAGGCGCTGGACAGAGTTACGGACCCGAGCTGAGGGTCGTAGAGGGCAGGGGGGGAAGCAGGGAGATCGAAAGCACGGTCGAAGAGGAGGGTCTTGAGGTGGGTCTTGAAGATGGTGAGAGAGGGGGCGAGACGGAGGGACTGCGGGATGGAGTTCCAGAGGGTGGGTGCAGAGTGGCGGAAGGCCCGCCCGCCGATAGTCGAGCGAGCAAGGCGGGGCATGTGAAGCAGGTCGGAGCCCGCTGAGCGGAGGGAGGAAAACAGGATGGTAGGAGTTAGGAGGTCACCGAGGAAGGGGGGAGCAAGACCATGGAGGGCTTTGGAAATGAGGACTAGGATCCTGAACGGTATCCTCTGTGTGATGGGAAGACAGTGGAGTTGGCCAAGGATGGGGGTGATCGGGCCGCGGAGCCTAGTGCAGGAGAGGACATGGGCTGCAGAGTTCTGGATGATCTGCAGCCTGTGGAGGGAGGAGTTGGAGAGGCCGACAAGCAGGGAGTTTGCATAGTCGAGCCTCGGTGTAATGAAGGCATGTATGAGGGTTTCGGCAGCCTACAGTGCAAGTCAGTGTCAGAGCCGGGCGACATTGTGGAGGTGGGGGAAGACAGAGCGGGTCATGTCATCAGCACTGCCCTGGAGTACTGCAAGCCTGGCTAGTTCAGGAGCTGAACTGCTCAGAGTATCACAAAGGATTGGTTTGATTCCAAGCATGTCAATTCGGCATCAAAGAGTCTCCACTTACTTCCTTCTCTTATCTTATTTAACTTTTGCCGCTTAATGTATCTTACTTTACTTGCTTAGCTTACTTATGAACTTCTCTTACAACAGAGCACCTTTTCCAACTTTTATTCTCAGGATACTCAACTCTCACCACTACAAGCCCATTACACTTTAGATTAACTGCCTCAACTGTCTCACCTACGGTAAATGTAAAATCGGCAGCCCTACATTCCAGATTACCTGCTGATTTTCCAGCTCCAGTCTATTGCTTGTTCCCCAGATGATTCACTCCCATTAACAGTAGCCAAGCCTTCATCTTCCATGTCTTTGTGTGAAACTCTTTCAAAACTATTTATCTTGCTACTCATCTCCTTGCCTTCAAAATACAGTGCAGTTCTCTTATTTCACTGCTGCGTTCACCACTGCATTTGTCAAGTGACCTCTACCATTCAGAATAACTAGAGCAGCAGCATCATGCTACGCCACCACCTCCAAATGATCCTCCAAATAACATAATGTTCTGACTTGGACATTTATCACCTTTCATTGTCGCTGAATGAAAATCCTTGAACATCCCACCAACACCGTGAGGACTGCAGCAGTTTAAAGAGAAATGGCAGGAACAACTAACGATGGGCAATAAATTATTGCGCAGACAGTATTGTACACAACCAAATGATGAGTTCTTTTTTGAGACATTCTTTTACGTGATATACTTACGTAATTGCAGTTTTTTTCTTCGTGGCGTCCCATAATTAAGCTGCTTTATTGCTCTTGACTCTCGTGATCTTATTTCAAGCTCTCAGACATTATCGGTTGAATTTTATCTTACAAAAATAACACTGCTGCAGAAGGCGGAGCTGGGAGGTAAGGACAGAGGTAGGGATGGCGTAAAGGAAGCAATGACAACAACTTACATTTATATGCCACCCTTCATACAGGATAGCATCTTGGAGTGCTTAACAATGGCGGAGTCAACGCTGAGCTGGGGGAGGCAGGAGATGACCACCATCAAATAGGAAGATCTTCAACAAGAACAACTTGCATTTATATAGCGTCCTTCACTTGGGGTGGTGTCCCGGAGTGCTTCACAGTGGTGGAGTCTGACAACAAGCCAAGGTGGGGGGGGAGATGACCATAAGCACGATCAAAAAGGAAGGTCTTCAGGTGGGATTTGAAGGTGGGGAGGGAGGGAGAGGGCAAGGTGGAGGGATCAATGGAGAGAGTTCCAGAGTTTTGGAGCATAGTGGCTGAAGGCACGGCCACCGATGGTGGAGCTGAGGGCACAGAGACAATTAGGAGGCCGGAGCCAGCCGAGCGGAGGCAGTGGGTGGTGGAATGGGGTGTAAACAGGTCAGGTAGGTAGGAAGGTGCGAGGGAATTAAGTGATTTGAAAATGAGAGGATCTTAAAGTCGATCTGTTCGGTGATTAGGAGCCAGTGGAGCATAACTGGTGCGATGGGTATACAGAGTTTCATGCAGGTGAATATCTGGGCAGGGGAGTTTTTAATTAATTGGATTTTGTGTGTGGTGGAGCTGGGGAGACCAGCGACATTGGACACTGGAAGAGTCCAGCCGGAATGGCATGGACGAAGGTTTCAGCTGCATCGGATGTGAGGTATGGACAGAGGTGGGCAATGCCAACAAGGTGGAAAAAAGTGGGCTTGGTCAGGGATCGAATGTGTGGTAGAAAGAAAAGCTGGGGATTGAACCTGACGCCTAAGTTGCGCACGGGTTTGGAAAGTCTGAGGGAAAGCCCGGGGAGGTTGAGGAGTTCAGACCCACAGGAGAGAAGACATTGACAAGAGCCAAAGAGTATGGCTTCTGTCTTGCCAACATTCAGTTGCATTCTTCAGCTGTGATCTGAAAATGGGCAAGGCAGAGGGATTGAGGGAGATAGTTTCGGAGAATTTGGGCTGAAAGCATGGGTGCCAATGGAGTAGAAAGGACAAGGGACAAGCAGGAGGCCGAAGCCAGCCGAGTGGAGCTGGCGGTGTGGGGAGTCAGCAGGTCGCAGAGGTAAGAAAGTACCAGGGTGTGAAGGTATTTGTAGACGAGTGTCAGAATCTTGGAGTGGATCCGTTCTGTGATAAGGAGACAGTGGAGCTTGGCGAGGACTGATGTGATGGGGGTATGGAGTTTAGAGCCAGTGAGTATACGGGCGGCGGAGTTGGAGAGACCAGCAAGCAGAACATTGGAATAGTCAAGGCAGGAGATGACAAAAGCATGGACGAGGGTTTCGTCTGCATTGGGTGTGAGGTACAGTTGGAGGCAGACAATATTTCAAAGGTGGAGGAAAGTGGAAGGAACTGATCCACTGATGCCTAGTTTGGTAATGAAAGCGTGGATCAGTGTCTCGGCAGCCTGCAGGGAGAGATAGCGGTGGAGGCGGGCAATCAATGTTGCTGAGGTGCATTAGGCAGAATGGGTCATGGCACGGATATGGGGATTAAAAGACAGTTGAGAGTTGAACAAGACACCAAGGTTCGTACTGGCTCGGTGAGATGGGAGAGTGTATCCATGAATAGTGATACTGTCAGTGCCTGAAGTGAGGAGGCGCTGACAGGAGCCAAGTTGGAGGCCCTCGACCTTGCCATTCGACTGGAGAAAGTTGGCTCTCATCCAACACTTGATGACATGCTCTCCATTAGGAAAGCAGCGGTGCTGGAGTCCAGGGTGGAGGGAGAGAGATAGCGTTGGGTATCATCCAAGTACATGTGGAAGTTAATCCCATGATACTGCCGAAGGTGTAACCGGGTGGTGCGGCCTCGGCGAGGGGGAAGGTGTCACTTGGGGTGGTCCAGGTTTCAGTGAGGGTGAGGACAGTCTCCCCGTTGACAATGAGGTTGTGGACAGTGACGGCTTTATTAGACAGCGTGCGGACATTTTGTCGGGCGACGCGGAGGGTTTCAGAGGAATTTACAAGAGGAGGAGGATTGACAGGAAGAGTGGGGATGTGAATAATAGGAGAGGTTTGCTGTCGGGGGGTGGGATGGGGGGGCAGTCAGAGTGGCTGCTGTTGGACAGGCAATGGCAGGTTCTCAGTGATAGTAACAGTAACCAGGAGGAGGGGGGAGGGGGGAACGGAAGCTCCGGGTTTGCTGCAGTCGGAGGAGAGTTGGGGTGAGACCGCCGGAAGTCAGGAGAAAAAAAAGCCGTTGAGCAGACGTTGGGAGGCTGAGCGCGTGAGAGAGGCGCGAGCGGAAGAGTGTCAGACGACGGGCGGGGGGAGCGCGGGCCACAGAGACCCCGACACAGTGAGGGAGAGAGACCCCGGGGCCCAGAGTGGAGACGCCCACAGACAGCCCGGGAGAGGGGGAGAGAGAGAGAGAGAGAGAGCGACACCGGGAGCCGGGAGAGAGTCACCCAGACCCAAGAGCGGCCGGAGATCCAGGAGAGAGCCCGAGCCCGGAGCGGGGGACACGGATCAGGACGTGGGGCCGAGAGGAGCTCAGCTTCGGGGCCCTGTTGGAGCCGAACAAAGTGCAGTCAGTGAGTGTCCTTACAGCCCGGTTTCCTCGTGTGGCCGCGGGGATGTTTATTATGCGACGCAGACACGGGGAGGGAGGGAGGTGTGGGGGTGGGGGGGCGTTGCGGGCGTTGCTGGGCTTTGGTTATTCGGGTTGTCTTCCGAAGTGTTGTTATATTATTATCTTTGCCCCTGGGGGAGGGGGAGGGGAGCGCTGTCTCTTGGAGCTGAACTGACAGCATGTGACACGCCTGGCAACAGAATATCGGAATCGAGCCAATCCTCTGGTGGTCTCTCTCGATGGTCTGGTTCCTGAGCCTGGCGGGTCCTCAGCATCCCAGGGCCCGGCTGAGCCCAGCCCGGCCCGGCCCGGCCCGGCTCCTCAGCAGACCAGTCATCCCACTCAGCTCCTGTTAACCCTGCAGGCCAAAGCCCTAACTCGACGGGTCGGGGTGGTCCGAGCTGGACGCGCAGTGGGAAGGTTTGCCGGACAGCGACATCAATGGCAAGCTGTGCGGTGTGAGCTGGTTAGATTCCGGCAGGACCCCCCACCTCCCCGGCACACACTCTGAGGTCCCCAAGACTTGGCTCTTGCCAACCTGCGCCTAATACTTTCTGGAATTAGGCAATCAGGATGCATCCCTCCCGGGAGAGAGTGCGCATTCAGTTCCACAATCTGTAGAAATCTCAGCTTGGTTTGGATACTCTTAAACATGGTGATGGGTTTCTGCACGTGTCAGGCACCCGGCTGACCCCAAAAAAACGTTGGGAGCCAAAGCTTTGTGATATTGGGGTTTTTTATGGTGATGAAGCCGCACCTGGACACTGATGATGCTCGATAAAACATCAGACCATGTGGCTTCTGCATATTTTATATACTTCCCCTTTATACCACTTCTCTTGTGGGCAATGCTTCATGCTAAGGCACAATTACTGGAAGCACTTCATCACTGAATCTGCATAATCAAGTTAATCGACCACTGGCAGTGCGGGCAAGGAGAAATGTGGCGTCACCACTGCTGGTGTGGCTGAGATTTGAGTCTGGAACTTTCTTAGTGTTGTACATATTCCAGAGAATCATAAATGCATATGTTCTTGTGTTTTTCTTTTAGTTTTTATTACATGCTCAAATTGTAAGCAGTATAAGTCAAACCTCCTCATAATTTTTATCTAAGTTGCATAAATGGCTTTCTGCATTGTTTCTTGACCTGGATACAAATAATCCAACTGTTATAGTAGAATTAGGAACTTAAAAGGACCGTTATAAGAAATCTGGGATAGTTAAAGGTTTTACCATGTCAAAAATTACTCCTACCTATGTTTAAAACGTATGGTTTAAAAATATATCTGATATCTACAGAAATGTTTTTGCAGGGTACTATTTCTATTCTAAAATATTCATCAACAATATTGCTGCTCTTGCGTGTTCTAAAATATTAATCAGCAGAAAAGTTGACTTTTATGTTCTAGAAGAGTGCATATTTACCATTTGAGTTTGGTTGAAAGTGGTCTGCTGGATTGTGCTAATTTAACCTTTTTTTATTGGTGAGCGAGGTCAGGCCCTGCTCACCCCCATTAACCAAATTAGACCCAAATGCATTCCACTCGGGAACAAGGGTTGTCCCCGCAGACAATCCCTTATCACCCCTGCCCCCCCCCCCAAGAAAACTCTGGGCCCCAAATTGTCGAAGGACAATGTGGACCTGACGCCTGTCTTCATGCGCGCCCCCCTGAGCAAGTCAGGTGACCGGATCACCTCTCTGGCAGGGCAAGCCCAGCTTGAACCTAGTGACCAATTGGTCAAGCAAACTCTGCATTCCAGTATCTCACCTTTCTCTTTGTGAGGGCAGATCAAACTCCTCAGATCATAAATACCACAAAACCAATCCCAGCCAACTGATGGCCGAAAGTACAGCTGTTGCCAGGACCTAATCCTTCCAATAAGAACCCCTATATTATGGATAAGATTTGGTCACCACAACCAACACAAGCAAATCTCAACAGGTGAACTTTTCTGGCAGATGCTAGCCCAAGGAGTAATTGCTAAGAACAGCTACTACACTTGATCTTAGCCAAAAGAAGAAGCGAATAGTAATTGGATCCTGGAATTTTAAACTTCAATTTTTTTATGACAAAAAGCAAAATAATGGTTTAATTGTTAACCTGAATAGCCCAAAACAGTATGGGCTTCTGATGGCATTAACTGTGTGAGCGTGTACTTTTATATTTTATATTGTAGGGTTTATGAGTATTTTTCACACCAGTGTGTAGGAAGAGAACTAGGTAGGATAGGCTGTGCTATTGTCAGAGGAGATTTTTTGGTAGCTACTATCTCAAGTATTACAAATGTCTGATTGCTTAGAAAGCTAAAATAGAAAAGCAAGAAAAACCTAGTGTGGCTATTCTTAAAATGCAGATTTTGAACAGAGTCTCACAGACAATTGCATTTTTAAAGATAAAAAATGTAATTATTAGAAAAGTTAGTCATCTTACGAAAACAAGGAAGTAATTGCCATTATTTACAAGTTTCTGAAGTTAAATCAATTGGCGTCAGAAGTAGCAGTTGACTGATTGTCTTTGCTTTACTGTATGTTAACCTTTCAGCTAGTCATGTGGCAATTGTATGCTATAACCTCTCATGCTCCCAATTTGCCACCTCTTAGATTAAAGTAGATGTAACACTTTTACTTAAAAATAGATTACCAGCTTTTCTACATTTTTGTCATCTAATAGATGAGACAGACAAGTAAAGATAGTAAAAGACAAGACATTTAGCTGCTAGACAACTATCTCTCCTCTCCCCTAAACTCACTCGTTCACCCCACTGAAATCCAGAACCATTTCCCACTCTTTCTGGTACAGCAGCCACATCCGCTTCCTTAAATCCAAGACCTATGTGGGTGGTTGAACCTAGTTGGCATGAAACTGGCCTTCACAGTTTACTGCCAGATCTAGCTTGAAGACCAATGTGCTTTCCTTCAACGCTGGAGGCCAAAAATGATCCCAAGCTCCTGTTTTGCGCACACACAACCTCCACTATGCCCTCCTCAAGCACCCTCCATCCTCATCTCAGTCACCAAATGGAAAGAGGTCCTGGGCTTTCTCGCATCAAAAATCCAAATGGCTGTTTCTGCCACAGTGTCCCCTCAACCCCTTTGCCCTTGTCTTCCTGAACTCCTATTTCCTTCTCCACTGCTCCCTCCCTACACTCATTGACTCATTTCTACCTCATCCCTCAAACCCCCCCTCATCAATCCGATGAAATCTACCATTTACTCCCTCAATCCCATCTCCACCCATCTGTTGACCTTCCAACCGCCGCTCCTCTCCCCCTCAGAACTGCGGTTAGCACTCCTCTCAAAAAAAAACTGTTGATGATACCCAAATCTATTTTTCCTCCTCTAGTCACGACCCCAGTCCTGCTGATGTTCTGACTGCCTGCTTGTTTGGCCTCAAGGCCTGGATGAACACCAACCTTCTGCAGCTAAATTTGGACAAGATAGACGCCATCCTCTTTGGCTCCCATCAACCCATCTTCTCAGTTACAGTTTCTGAACTCCTTAATCTTCCCTGCCTTTTCTTCAGACTTGCTGAACCTATACACAACCTTGGCGTCACAATCGATCCGCAGTTATCCTTTGTGCCCCACATCCAGTCCCTAACCGGGACTGCCTTCCTCCGGCACATTATCTGATCGTCTGCCTTCGTCCCTATCTTATTTTAAATGCTGCTGAAATTCTCATTCGCGCTTTCATCACTTTCCACCTCAATTTTTCTAGTGCATTCCTCCCAGTCTCCCCAGATCCACTATTAAAAAGGTTCAAGTGATTCAAAACTCTACCGCCCATGTCCTCACCTTTACCAGGCTCCGTGCTCCCATCACCCTAGTTCTTGCCAGGCTCCACTAGCTCCCTGTTGCAGAATGGATTGATTTCAAGATCTTCACTCACCTTCAAATTTTTCACACCTTGGCACCTCTCTACCTATCCGATCTGCTCACATACACCCCTCTATCCACCACCTTCGCTCAGCTGGCATGGGTCAGCTTCACGTCTCTCATCACATCCACTCCACAATTGACGACGTACTTTCAGTCACTATGCACTGGATCTTCTTGCCTCAGTCCCTCCATATTGCCCCCTCTCTGCCCATCTTCAAATTACACCAGAAGACTTTCCTCCTTTGGTTACTCGCCCCCCCTCCCCTCCCCCCTTCTCTTTTCTGGCCCAACATGAAGCCATGTTAATTTTGTTAAGCGATCTGCGTGAGGGGTGCAATATAAATATAAATGTTGTTGAGATATAACAAACATTTTAAAGTTTCTACGTAGTATAGGCAGTTGGATAGTTATCTTGTGCACAGAATTGGAGAACAGCAGAGAGATTTTGCTTGTAGTACATGTGAATTGAATAGTAAAGATGAGGCAATAGAATAGATGATTTTTTAGGCCGCTTGGTTGGTTATCTTTAGGTAGCATGGAGTATTAGGCTGTTTTTATATTCTGGGATCCGGAGTCCTGAAATGCACAGGCTGTTCCTGCATTTTAGAGCTTTGAATGGTTTTATATGCAAAATCCCTGTCGATTTGCTTGTTTTCGTGCCTCTGGTGTGGGCAGAGATTGCTGCTCTGAGGAGTGCAGATGTGGCCATTGCTCCTGACCTGTGGTAAGTTGTTTTTGTTTTAATTTTGTTTCTATTTCAATTTTGTGCTTTATCGTCTTTTCTTCTTTTCTCCCCCCCATCACCACCATTATTAATTGGATAATTCTGGTATCCTGTAATCTTAGGAACCTGGTTATGTATCATGCAGTGTACCATTTTCTGTACATTTGTTATTTATTGAGCCTTTTTAATGTGCCCTTTTTGCTTTTCAAATTTTTTCTCACCCCTTATAAATATCTTGGATGGTGTATTAAAGTAAAAATGTGGAAGTACTTATAGTAAACTAAACATATAATACTTTTGATTCCTTACTTTTGTTTGGGGGATGGGGGTTTGTCTTAAAAGGACCAAAACACAATTATTTGATGTAATGTCAGAAGATGTTCAATTAAATTAAAAATTCAATACATTCCCAATAAAAAAAAGTCAGAAAAAAAGTTCAACTCGTGTATGAAGTACCTTGACAATTTCAGTTTAAAGTATCATTTCCAATCATCAAGTAGCCTTGATCATTGAAAATAGATACTTAAACTGAAATGAACAAGATAATTTATCATGCATTTCCCCTTTGATAGAAACCAGTGTCCTCCCCCAATGTTTGTTTCACTTAATGCACTTTTATTTTAATATACCCATCTAAGATATGAATGATAATCAGTTAAAAAGTGATAAGCAAAAAGGTGCATTATTAAAAATATTGCAGTAGATGCATATTAAAAAATGCACTAGATGTGTAACACATCCACTAGTACTGAGGGTCCTGAAAACCAGGGGTCCAGAACTGGGGCCAGACAAAAGCCAAGAAAATACTAGAGGCCTGTATGTCAAACGAGTACCTGGGCAATCAACTGCTGGCTTTGGAGCAGAGGTATTATATCAAGTTTTGCTTTCAACCACTTATCAACATAAAAGATGTAAATAATGCTGTTTGTCTCAAATCTGTTATTTCAAGTTAATTTCAGCTATGGTTGGTGTGGATTTCTTCTGAAACTAAATTGTTTCACCTGGTACAGCACCAGGTACAGCACCTGGTACTGCTGCCTCGTGTATATCTTTGTCTGGTCAGTTGCTTACACTTGCAAGTTATAATCAGTTTATATGTGACAGTTTTGTTTGACTTACCATATTCGTCCTCTAATCAAATCTTCCATTTTTTTTTAAACAGCATATCTGAGAACTCCTTGATGGTATGCTTCAAACTACTGGTGAGATGGTTAGCCCATGGCTCAGCGTGGCGGATAAACAGAAGACCTGGACTGGTTTGCCACTGATTGGTCAAGGCACTGATATAAATGTGTCTTCCATCCATATGGTGGGATATTTGGGAAAAGTCAGTGAAACTGTTTATTGCTGTAAATTGAGCAAAGTTCTCAATTCTTTTACGTTTGAAATGATTCCCTTTTCACAACTCTCTAAACTCGGAATGACACGGAAATCTTATATTTACTAAGGCGAAAGATTTATCTGAAGTGAAAACAGTTCCCATGATAATCCTCTGAGTACTGAATAGTTGACAAATGTTTTTACTTGCACTAAATTGGATTTTACTTTCAAATGAAAATCACACTGTGAAAATTGAGCATTTACAATACACTCCCAGATTTGTCAATTTAACTGCTTTAAGTGCACAACGGGTTTAGTACACTGAGGATGAAAATGGTGTGGTAATTAAATACATGGGTTCAGGTGTACACCTGGCTGTTAAGCAGATGAATATCAAGGAACAGGTTCCCATTTTTTAAATAGGTTTTGCTAATGTTTTTAAAATAACTTTTTCTCCGTGTTATTTCTCTCTATCCCCCTCCTTTTTTTCCAAACAGGCTGCTGAAAACTTGTCGCCCAGTGTAGGTGAATCCTGTCCGGTTTGTGCAGCAAAAGGAAGAAAGCAACATTTGCGAACGTTTTGTATTAGCTGGAAGGAATCTATTCTTCTTTGTGAAAATCCACAGGTACTGTTTGTTTCCTCAATGTGATTACCAGAAAATAGTGCTAATTTTTTTTACTTATGATAAAGTACTTTTTGGAAGATATGAAGCTTGTTTGTAAATTTAGTTATAGACCAGTATTCATATTACACCGAGTTCACAGGTCTATTATACAACAACAACAAGATTCCATTTATTGAGCGCCTTTCACGTCGGGAGGACGTCCCAAGGCGCTGTACAGTTGGCTCAGGACACGAGCAGGGGGGAAATGGTCAGGGTGAGGGGAGGGAAGGGAGGGAGCGAGGAGGGGGTAGAGAGTCGAGAGGGGAGCTGAAGGCACGGTCAAAGAGAAAGGTCTTGAGACCGGCCTTGAAGGAGGAAAGGGAGGAGGCGGCGAAGGCACTGGGGGATAGAGTTCCAGAGCCTAGGGGCTTGTCTCTTGTTCTTTAACTTCCACATGTGTTTTTTTCAGTTTTGTCTTCATTAGATACTGATAAAAATTGTATAAATATTTACCAGAATAAAAACAACTGGTAAAAATTTACATGTTAGCCACATAAAAACATTTTCTTTTGGTGTGTTGTTGAAAGCCATTGATAAAGTTGTTTAACCAAGTGCTTAATTTTCTATTTTGTTTTCTGTCTTTAGTGTATCTTTCCTTTGGGAAGTAAACCACTGAATGAAATCCTCATTTCTTCCGTGCGGAGTCCTCAGCCATCGGCCTGTCGCCTAAAACGGCAAAAAATCTCCAACTCTGTAGATAACAGAGACACTTGGAGTGGTTTTAATGTTACAACCAAGAAATCTGCATCTGAGCCTTTAGAGAGAAACTCTAGCTCAACTGATACTCTGGTCTCTTGTACAGAAAAGGATCCTCAATTTAGTGTCCTTAGCTCTCAAAGTAGCCATGGCGTATTTGTCCCAGAGAAACCAACTCCTGTGGTTCCTGGACAGTTTTCGTGCAAGAGGAAGGAACTACCAACAGAAACTGAAATTTGTGCTGAAACAAAATCAGAAGTCCCTGCAAAGGGATCAAGTCCTGAATCTTTTCATCTTCAATGGAAGAACAAATCTGCTCTCTGCTGGCTAGACTGCATATTAACAACTTTGGTCCACTTGAAATCAATAAGAAAAGCCATTAGAAACCTAGGCACGGAAGTGGAGTCCCCAGTTAATAGGTTATGCGTGGAATACGATCGAGCATGTGGACTGTTATCTTACTCCAAGGGTGGTAAAGGTAAGCATTTTTGTGTTCCAGGTTAGCATACATGAGAAATTATGATTTCCTTACATATACAACATAATATTGCTTATTGAGAAAATTTGCTTTATATTATTTGCCTGTCAGTTTTCTTTAAAATGTCAATTTTATGTCCAACAAATGAGCAGTCGCTATCTTGTGAATGTTTGACCAAGAGAGTAGACACCACCGGTTAGTCATTAGACATCTGACGAGAGAATGTTTGAGCTCTTGCTAGATGGCGTGCAGCTATCAGAACCTTGCAAGCCACACATATTGAGCAATGCAGCTCAGTATAAAATGTACGAGAGCAATCCCACCACTCCTGCCACAGCGAGACTACACCCTACCCATTTAGCACATCCATTTGGAGGTGAGGCGTCAGCAACATCTTTATATACAAATAAAGGTAGATATCAATCCTTGAGTATGAGTTCTCAAACTCCAGTTAGTGCCTTATAAAAATTGTTTCAAAATGAAGTTTTTCTATTTACTGAGAGCACACATTCAGAACTCATGTTGCGACGGTTCTCATTCCTTGTTGTACTTGCAAATTTTAGTAACGTTTACATACTAAGTTGCCTCTGCTCTTTCCTAACTGTCAGTGTGAGTCCCTGCTCAAAGGTGTCTCAACCAAGTCAGAATTAGTCACTCGGACAGGTATTCCCAGATAACTCCAATGCCCGGTAACTTGGATGTTGAATCGGAGTCTGTTTGCACTGCCAGAACTCCGATGTCGACAGCTACTCTCTAAGTGCTTTATTCCTTTTCTTGTTTTAGAATATTACAGAGACTCGAGGATACGGTTGGTTAAAAACAGCAGGTTTTTATTAAGACCTAGCAACCCTAGGCTACCTTGCATATAAGAAATACAACAATTTAAGACATATAACAATGGGATGAACTATAACTAACACACAACTGTAACAACTAGCAGCACAATACTACATTAGTATAAAGTAATTAAACCAACCTGACTTGTACAGTAATCCTGTACACATCAGTACGTACTGGATGACGACCATTAGACAGCAACCACAAGACACACTGAGCATTGCTCTTTATGGGCGCATGGTTCCACCCACCGTATGATGCGAGGGCTTTTTCCTGCGCGAGCGTCCACGTGACTTTCCCGGTTAGATTCCAGGTCAATCAATCAACCTGGAACCCAGATATTGTTGCAACTTGGGCACCTCATGTATGCTGTTTGCTAATTCTTTGCAAGCAACTTCTACAATTAAATCTTTTGCAAGCTTTTTCTTGACCAGAATCTAATTAATGGGACAGGCTGCCCCATTTCCCTTAAATAATATTATTATACATATTATTTACATATTACTAATGATGGCAAAAACAGGGTAACCGCGACAATGTGTAGATCAATTACCCAATAGCCTTTTGTTTGTTATCTGATTTGCCATTGGCAAAAAATAAACATTTGAGGCTTAATATATAGGAAAGTAAGTTTTAGTGGGAGATTTCAATCATTTTGTTTCCTAACAGTTAAATGTATTGTAATTTTTGGATAAATGGTGGCATTTCTATGTATTGGATTCAGCAATACCACTTCAAAACATCTGGCAGAGCATTTTGTTCATGTGTAAAATATTCTTTAATTCATGTTTATTGAGAGCAACACCTCTTTCCCTCCCACCAATTATTTCAAGTGTATTATAATGGTCAGGAAACTTTCTTTGGCTTATTTTTCATATCTTGCAAATACTTAGAAATTGATTCTACTTTTTTATCATTTCAGGTAATGGAGTGAGAGGAGTATCTGGTAAAATGATGTGTCAGGTAGAATACATCCTCAATGAGATCCGAGAGTCTATTTTCCTACTGCTTCAACCAAGACTCAAATGTGAATTAGGTAAACTGTCAATTTATTTAATTGTAAAATATCTTATTTGTACTTGTCAATGTATATGAGGCTTTTTACATATTTAGTTTGTGTAAATTGATTTATGTAAAATATTAATATGAGACTTCTGTGAGTAGATAAAAAGACATAACTAAGTCCTGGACTAATCACAGCCAAGGCCTTTCCTTACAATGCCTACCTTTTTAAAATTACTACTAATATTTTCACCTACGCTCACCGTTAATGGTCATGCTTTCATCCATTAAGTAAGGTCCCTGTCCCTCGAAATCCCTGCCTCATTCCTTGCCTCCTCTTTGCCCATCTTCAGATCACCTGAAGACTTTCCTCTTCGTCTGTGTCACCTCCCCTTTATACCGCATTAAATGATCCCAGACAAATCCCATGAGGGGCATATATAAATGCTGATATAAAAGTTGCTGATATTCTATATGTATTGCTGCAAAAAACTGCTTTTATTCACTCGGCCATTGCAGTAGCTGTAATGATTTTTGTTTGGAGGTTTTAAGCATTTAAACTGACAATGCTTATGTTGTCCCCTGTCAGACTCTCAGATCATGTTTCTGATGTCATTTAGTCCCATTCCCCCATAAACATAGAGCTTTATTATACCAGAAGCCGCTGGACACCAAAGTAAATGCACTGTCAGGCTGCTAAGAAAGAAAAAAGTTAACTTGCATTCTCAAATCATTGTATTACTAATTTAATGGCTGTTTTTATTGGCAAATCTGGCAGCTATTTGTAGCAGCAAGGTCTTACAAACAGCCATGAGGCAAATGATGAATTGATCTGGAGGATTATTGCCCAGGACAAACCTTGGTGTTCTAATTGGAGCATATTGTGGAATGATATTTATTACAAGTTAGCTTAATTCAGTGTTAACCCTGCAAGACAAAGCCCAACAGATAGGTGGTTGTAGCCGGACACGCAATGGAAGAGTTGGCCAGACAGTGCTTTCAACGTCAAGCTATGAGTTTTTAGCTAGTTAGACTCCAGCAATACCTCTGGTGCACACTCTGGGGTCTCCAATTCTTGACTCTTGCCAACCTGCACATAACAGTCTTAATAATCTTAAGCATTGTGATGGATTTCCGCATGTGTCAGACACTTGGCTGCCCCCAAAAAAGTTTTAATAGTTTTTGTGATTTGTCTTTTTTAGGAAAGCATGATAGTCCGGTCTTTGCTCTTCCACTTCTGTTAAAGGCAGATCCGTATATTGAAGAGCTGTTCGTGACGACATATACCTATAGTTTTGAATGTGACAAATGTGGATACAAAAATGTAGAGAGGTATGTAAATATATTTTTTGTTTAATGAAAAAAAAGTTTTCTACATTGTTGACATTAGTCAGCTGCATATTAGATATCAAGTATTTAAAAATATTGATGCAGTAGGACATAAGCAAAAGTTTTATTTGCAATTCTGAGATTTTGAACATATAATGAAAATGTAGTACACCTTTGCATTATTCTTTGCCCCAAAAAAAGTCATTTTTGTTGAAATAAAATGCACATGAGAAATGTACTCATTTTAACCACATATGTCTCATCTTATTTGTAATTTTAATGGAATAACAATTTTAAATCAGTTTTATCCCTCAAGTTGCACATTGATGGCAAGCAATAAAGGAAAAGCACTGATGTTGAAATAAGTTTTTTTGTGAGTACATTCTGAATGTATGTATCGGTGAGAAAAAAAGCTCATATTCAACAAGATGTTTTGGGAATGATATAAGATCTGTTGCCATGGAAAGTTTATGCTGTATCGGTTGCTTAATCGATCTAACCTGTTGAACAGAAATATAAAGAAAATGTTTTACATTGATATTGAAATTGCACATATGGTCAATCTTATCAATGGCTTTGGGTGTTTGTGTGCAATTCTCCTTTGTATGTCTTACCGATGTTTCATGGTCTGTTTCTATCTTATTTATTGAAAATGGTGTGGTGTTTATAATTAACTTTTGTTGTTTTAATAGGCATGCCAAGACATTACCTACAGTTACAAATTTACTTCCAGATTGGCATCCATTGAATGGTATTTTGGTTTCACCTTGCAATAAATGTCAAGATATATCTCAGAGACGGAAGATGATTCTCAACCAGTATGTGATTTAAAATTTGTGGTCTTGCATTGAATCAGATTTTACATTTAATTTTGTTGTACGATGTTATAACCTTGTTTTTTCTTTTAGATTACCATCTATATTTATGCTGCATTTCGTGAATGGTCTACCACATGCTGACTTGGATAGCTACGGGTTTTGCTTTGAGGGTATTTCATACAAAATCTGCACAATTATTCAATACATACAGACTAAGCAGCATTTTGTCTCATGGATTCAGAATTCTGATGGTATGTATCTACTTTTTTGATGCTACATGTTGGGACTTTGAAAACAAGGTGCAAGTAAGTTGATACTGCATTGCAGTGCTGGAGGTACCATCCTTTGGATGGGATGTTAAAACAAAGACCCATCTGCCTATTCAGGTGGATGTTAAAGATTCTATACCACCATAGGAAAAATGAAGGAGTTTCTCCTGGTTTCCTGGCCAACAACCTTCCAAATAAAAATTGATCAACAACAATAACAACTTGCATTTATATAGCGCCCTTCACATAGGGTAGTGGCCCAGAGCGCTTGAAAGTGATCATGCACTTCATGAAGGTTTGTAGGATATCCAGTGCACAAATTGGCTGTCATGTTTGCCTATAAATACACAGTCTGTACACTTCACAGTGCTGTGAGACATCTCAAAGACGTGATACAGCGCAATATCAAATGTAAGGAATTTTACATTTCCTGTTATTACACTGGTTTGTGACAAGAACGTTTGAGTTTTTCAGTAATTTAGGGAACATGAAATGCTGTTTTTTTAAAAAAGTTCATTATTACGTAAATCACACTTCGTTTTTTGGTAGTTGCTTCTAACTACGATTCAGTAGTTAGTTGACACTAAGTAGACTGATGGATGGTGCTACAAAGAGCTTAAATGCTGGTATATATTTTTTGTAAATGGCTCTTGTACAACAAAAAACTTTCTAAAGCACAGATGTGTTTTGGTGAAGCGCAAATGAGATGAATGGCCTCTCCTGTTCCTTTGAGCTTTCCTGGCAGTTCCAAAGTATGCTTGTTATAGATTATATAAAAGTTCCTGTAAAGGGTAGTTACTTTAAAGTGTTTTGTCACTTTAGTTCTATAATAATGTATGTATTCTATCAGCCTCCTACATTTAGTTGGGCAACAATTTTTAACGTTTCTAAATATCTATTTACAGGTATTTCTACAGTGCTGCCTTTTTATAACACAGGAGTTGAGGTGTATAAAATCCCAACCTGTGCTATAATTATCTGTGCTAAATAATTATTTGGGGAGGGCAAGTTTGCAGGGCTATGGGTAGATAGTGGGAGACTGGGATTGAATTGGATAGCCCTTTTCAAAGAGCCGGAGCAGACACGATGGGCCAAATGGCCTCCTTCTGTGCTGTATCATTCTATGATAACTGGGCGTGATTGGTAATATTACTGGGAGCATGTTAGATTGTGTATTGATGCAACATACTGGCAGTGCAGAAAACTGTCTGTCCCCGGTTCACCTTAAACTACTCAGTGCCGTTATCATAGGACTTCATTAAATTTGTGTATTTATTTGTAGTCTGATGTATTACTAACTAAAATCTTTATTTTCTTCAGAGTCATGGCTTGAATGTGATGACTTGAAAGGATCGAATTGCTCCAGGCACGCAACCTTAAATGTTCCTGCACATGAAATTCACATTGCCATGTGGGAAAAGGACAAATATGGCAATACAACTGGGAATCAAGAACAAGCATTGGCTACTGAGACTACAAAACCAAATGCAAACTGTGTAACGGAAAGTACTGATCCAGATACAAAAAGCAATTTGCTTTCTGGTTTGGAACACCTGGAAAACAACACAATTGTAACCCTGAATCTTATTAAGGTTGAAGCAGACAGTGAGGAGAAACCAGTAACAGTGACACCTAATGATGAGCAATGTCATTTGCTTACACAAAACAATGCATCATCACAAAATTCTTCTGATGATCATAATGAATCTGTCCAGCTTTGCTTTAAGGTGGCGAATCCTAATGAAAAATGTTTGCAAGGGAATCACACGACTACTGCCAAACCTGATGTTCAACCAAGCTATATTCTGAACTCTGAAGCTGCTTCCTGCTCACTGAGTACACCTCAACTACAACTACAACTCACTGATACTGATGCTTGTAGATATCCTGTATCAAAGGGAAGGTGTTCCAAACTGAAAGTAATTAAGGTTAAGCCAGCTACAGCTAATGTAAGACAAGAAAAGTTAATGCAAATAAGTTCAGAAATGCCTGTTCTGTGTCCTGGTAAACAAACAAAAGCCGGTTGTGTCACATCACCGCCATCAAATCAAACCTTGAAAAAAACTGCTTCACCTGATCCGTCTCTACCTGTAACAACTAAGAGATATTTTGGTACAAGCTGGTCAAAGAACCTGATGGATCGACAGATTTCATCAATAGCCAGTGGTATGTCTAAAACAATACTCAAAAATCATGTTACTAGTAGTCGCAGTGTACCTGTTTCACTTAAAGTGACTGATTCAAATCGTCCTATAAAAGAACATTTTGATGGGTTTAAAATCAAAGGTCTTGCAAAGTGTGCAGGAAAGGCAACCAAAATGGTACCAAAAGACTTTTCAAATGTACAGAATACCTGCAATCTGCTTGAACACTTTGGTGGTATAAAGGAAAACAACAAAGAATTGTTACCTATGAAAATCTCTTCAGTTGTACATACGTCAAACAAGATGCATCAACCTAGTGTGCCACCTTCAAACCATGTTCAACCCACAGTGTATCAGACAGAGCATTCTAGCGTAGAGCTTTGGGGTTCAACGTCTGGTAAAAAAGAGTTCCTTAACACTGATACAAAACCTCAGAAGCTTCGTCTCAAACTGCTCAAAAAACTACAAGTAAAAAAGGATCGGTTAGCTGCACTTGATCAACAAATGAAGACTAAGCATTGCGCTAAAAATGTCAATTCCACCACGAGAATGTTGTCAAATATCCCAAATAATACTGGAAGCAGGATGTTCCATGATGTATTGAATGAGCTTTGCCATCAGCTTGGTGTTGAAGACCATGACTCTATCTGTACATCTAGTTCCAGTGCTTCAGTAAGTAGCAGCTCAAGCAATGATGATATATTTGCAGAATTGTTTTCACCCACATCCACTGCTTCTACTTATGAGGATGACATTGGGTATAATGACTTGTCAACAGGTATTCAAGAAGTAAAGTGTGCTGAAGTAATTAACAGCTCTCTTCCAGCTAAGGAAAACATATTGGGAGATTTATTGTCCACAACAACACTCAATTCTTTTACAGGAGGTCCTGAAGAGGAATTGCTTCACTTTGATGAAAAGCTTTTTGAGAACTGCTGATTAGTTTTTTGTTGGTAAAAGAGGGAAACCACAGAAGGCTTTTGGCGTAAATAACTTCAATTTTGCCTGTTTAAAATTAAGTCTTGTGCTTAGGTTTTTGCTGTTTTCATTTTAAAATATTCATTAAATGCAATGTTTAAATAATTTGGAATATACTTGAATAGGAACCTGGGTAGAAGATGTTCATGCAGTTTCTGCAGCCAGTCTTTAGTGATGTTTACCAGACAAAACACTACTGTTTTTTGAGAATTTTTATAAAATGGTTAGCTGATCTCTAAATTCTACAAAAGTAATCAATGTTTCTTGGTGAATTTCATTGTTTTAATAAAATGCTGTTTGGTTGTTGTCGATCAACAGAGTGCACTCGCCATTGGATCATGAACAAAATAGTTTTCTCATCTCTGGTTTCAGGTGACCATTGTAAATGCTCTTGTTTTATTACAAGATCACTGTCTTGTAATCACTCTGAAGTATTCATTCATACATATAGGTTTCAGAACAATTTGGCGCTTTCACAGCATGCTGCTCAGTTGTGTAATCGATTCCCTCCTGTAAATAATGGATTCTTTAAAATTGAGATTTAAAGAGGCAGCAGCATTGGAATTGAAATGTAGATTTGGCATGTGATGTAAAATATAATGTTCTTTTTTATTGAAGTAGTTTCCTTATTTAAAAAAATTTAAATTGTAAAGTTGCACAAAATGTTTGATAGTTTATTTTTGTTTGACCGTTGTTTGGAACTATCAAAGTTGTATTCTAATCTGTTTCAGCTGAGTTTTTTATTGCCCAATAAAATTGTCACCCATTTTAAATGTTTGACTATTAATCTTTCTATTTGTTTACGTAAGGAATTACTCAAATGCAAGTCTGATGCATTCCACGTATTTAATTCAGTCCACTATTATTTCACACTGAAAAAATAACTTAATGGACTGTAACTTGTATTTTAAAATATTAGTGGTATACTTTCATCAAACAATAAATGCAATTCTTGTTCAGTTGTCATGTTCTCATCAGCACGAAAGGGCTATAATAGGAAAGGCATGCATTTTTTGTAAAATTGAATCAGTTTGAATTTCTGAATTTAACTATAATAGTTCTAGTATTTGATACAGAGCCTTATCATGTCACTGAGATATCTTAAAGCGCTTCACAGGATATGTTATTTGTGGACAAGCAATCAAACTAACTTGAATAGAGCAGTACAGATTTTACCTTCTTCAGGCCCCATTCTGCCCGTCTTGTTAACTGAGGCAGTTGTTCTTATCAGAATGTGTTTCTTAAGCAATATGCATTATTCCTGAATCAACTATGGACACACTTTTGCGTTCCCATCTTCCACAATTGTCCATCAGTCCTGTCGGTTTCAAGAAACCATGCAAGAATCTTGTGTTATGTTGCTTTTCTGGCTTTTAAAATAAAATCTGTATAGTACAATTATTGGAGTAAGGAGAAAGTCTATTGCACTTAAAAATCTAATTGTGCTGTTCAAATTTGAGCTGTTAATATACACCTGGGTTGATCCTCCTGAATTCTTTTCACAACAACTTGGATTTATATAACACCTTTCAAATAGGCTCTTCACAGTGAGCCAGCGCGAGAGGGGAAATGACCGTAGGCACGGTCGAAGAGGAAGGTCTTCAGGTATGATCTGAAGATGGCAAGGAGGGGTTGAGGCAGAGAGTTTCAGGGCATAGTAACTGAAACACGATTACCAATGTGGAACAGAGGGGACGAGAGAAATATAATCACTTCAAGCGCTTGCAGGGATGGCACATTTAATGGAGTCTTGCTTTGGCTACAAGGTGACTTGTTCGGCAATCGAATGTCAGGTTCGAGCCAACCCTCTGAAGGTTTGGGTAGTCCAGTTCCTGAGCCAGGCAGGTCTGCGGTATTCCAGAGCACTGATAATAATAATAATAATAATAATAATAATAATCTTTGCATTTGATATAGCGCTTTTCACGTCGGGAGGACGTCCCAAAGCGCTTCACAGAACACACTGTAAAGTGAATTGACTGTATATTTGTGGGCGAACGCGGCAGCCAATTGCGCACAGCAATGTCCCACAAACAGTCGTGGATTGAAAATGACCAATTTATTATTGTTTTGGGTTTTGGAGGGATTATTATTAGGCTCTGTGTGGAGTAAGGAAACTTGCCCAAGTTGATGATGATAGCCCAGCTAGTAGGGCTTAAGAGGAGAGTAGACCAGTCACTGGAGGTAGGGATTCTTCTCACACAATTCCTGTTAACCCTGCAAGCTAATCCTAATAGGTAGGGTAGTCCGAGTTGGACAAGCAAAGGGAAAGTGCTTTCAATGAAACTCTGCAGTTTTAGCTGGTTAAACTCCTGCGGTTTACCAATGTACACTCTGGGGTCACCAAACCTTGGGCTCTTGCTAACCTGCACCCAATGCTCTTGAGGGAGACTGTGCACATTCCAATTCACTGGAATTTCCATGTGGTGATGGGTTTCTGCGTGTATGTCACCTGGCTGACCTCCACAAAAGGCCCATCTTAAGTCTTTACTCTTTGCCCGCACCTTTGGTCATCTTTCCACCAGCACTCCCCTTGCCCTCCATCACTCTTCACTCCAGCCCGCAGCTAGGGTGCAAACCTTTTGTGTCCAGCGCCTTGGGACGTACTCCCGACATGAAAGGAACTCTATAAATGCTATTTGTCAACAATATATTTTCATGTACTGAAACCACCATTATACATATCAAATAGTATGTGAAACGCTTTGTATGATGAATTCAAAGTTGCAAAAATCTTTGTACTGGGTTATTCTGTTCGATATTCGTCATGCAGTGGCTTATTTTAAACCTCTCTGCAATAATAATAATCTTTACATTTGGAATACAGTAGTTTTTTTCACGTCGGGAAGACGTCACAATGCGTTTCACAGGATGCACCGTAAAGTGCAGTGACTATGTTTTATGGGCAAATGCAGAAGCCAGTTTTGCGCACCATAATGTCCCACAGACAGCCATGAAGTGAACGGCCAATTTTATTTCACAACAGATCTTGGAAAGCTTCCCCACATTAAACATTATAGACGAGTTATGCAGGATACAAGTACCCCTGTATAACGTTTCACAATTTATGTTCCATCCATTTTGTTATTTATTCTGTGTAAATAATGCTCTTTCTGACCTAAAGGTGTCACCAAATCCCAATGCTCTGCAAGTAAGAACCTATAAGAAGTGAATGATCCAATTAGTATCAACCCCAAAATAAGATTCCCTTTGAAGTCGTAATAGTAGTTATTTAGCATCATGCAGCTTGCTAAGCTTAACGTTTTCAATTGTTTTATTAAGTCATTTTAACACAATCTGCAGCAATCACTCAATCTGTAAAACTGTTGTATCTCCTTTCTGCTGGATGCTTTGCAAAATGAACACAATTACAGTATTTAGGATCAAATAAAAATATAAATTTCACTCTTTCCAAACTCTTTCAAGTCTGCAAACGTTGTCAAATAGTGCAGTGAATATGCGGGAAAGAGACTATATGAATATCACATATATTGAATATATGGTGAAAAATTAGATGTAAATTTATTGGACTGTTCAGCAAGGAGCACAGTTAAAATGTGGTTTCCTTTTCCTCTTCAGATAAGGACAAATTTATTCTGTGGTAGTCATTGCATTTTTGTTTGTCCTGTACAGACTTGGCTGTTGTGCTAGTGCGATTAACCTCAAGCACAAGGCGTTAATATTGTTCATTCTGTTTCCTGTTTATAAAGTTTTAACATTTTTTTTACATCATACTATTCAGTTTTCTTTTTGACAATTTTGAGGTTTGTTTTTATTTGTTTCAGTTGTTCTTTCAGCCTCCCCTGTCATTGAGGGCAGAGAGTACACATGGTCTCAGGCCTTAATACAACAATTTACATGATGTTGTTAGGGATGTCTTAAAGCGAGTGGGAGGTGGCGGAACGTGTGGTCAAAAAAATTGACTGTTAAATTGCATTTTGAAGGAGTATCGAGGTGAAGGGACTGTGGGATTCAATTCCACAGATGGGAGCTAGCGTGACTAAAAACTCATCAACTGATAGTAGTTTCCCCAACCTGCCTTTGAAGAAAGGGTTCGCAGATAAATCTGAGACAATTCAGCCGGCAACTTACTGTGTGGGAAGTCTTAGCCTGAACCTGCTTGATTTAGTACATTGCTATTGTAATCCACTCTGCAGATTGTGCAATTCCATTTACTATGTATGTTCAAATCTAAGATGCGTTTTTTTTATTGAAAAAGGGTGCACCTTAGAATTTGGTGTCTTTGCGGAATTATCTTTATTTCTTGTCTGCATTGGAGGAGTCAACACAAAGGAAACTCAGAGTTTGCAGAGTTTACGTATTGAGGAAAAACGAATTGCACACAAATGCACAAGTTTAGTGAATTGTAAATGTTTATAACCTAGAAGAAGGTTGAAAGTAAAATCTTTCTAAATCTAAAATGTAGAGCTTTAAGATGCTTCAACAATGTAATAAGTGCTACATCAAATGCAAGAATTATTATTATTATTTGACCCATCGTGTCAGTATTGGCATTTTGATAAACAACAACAAAATTATATTTGTATAGCGCCTTTCAAGTCGGGAGGACGTCCCCAAAGCAATTTAATTAATTTTCCTCTCTTTTCCACATTCCCTTGTAAAATACTCCTTTTTAGATATAAGGAGCAACGTGTTTAATATTTGCAGGTACAGTGGAGAGTTAGAAACCAAGACTGAGACAAACAGTGGAAGGAAAGGAAAGTCAGAGTGTGAACGAGAAATAGACAGATAGGCACAGACAATCAGAGAGAGACAGCGTTACAGAAAGAGATAGAGAAAGAAAATCACCGAGAAAATCAAATTTTTAAGAATGTTTTACAACAACAACAAATTACATTTGTTTAGTGCCTTTCACGTCGGGAGGTCCCAAGGCGTTGGAGGGCTTCAAAGGCACGTGGGAGAGTAGGGGATGACCTAAGGTGCGGTTGAAGAGGAGGGTCTTGAGACAGGGCTTGAAGGAGGCAAAGGAGGGAGTGAGGCTAAGTCCCGAAGGTTGGGGGCAGAAAGACTGAAGGGTCATGGAGTCGGGACATGGAGTCGGGGGGATAGGGTCGTGGAGTCGGGGGGATAGGGTCGTGGAGTCGGGGGGATAGGGTCCTGGAGTCGGGGGGATAGGGTCCTGGAGTCGGGGGGATAGGGTCGTGGAGTCGGGGGATAGGGTCCTGGAGTCGGGGGATAGGGTCGTGGAGTGGGGGGATAGGGTCGTGGAGTCGGGGGATAGGGTCGTGGAGTGGGGGGATAGGGTCGTGGAGTCGGGGGGATAGGGTCGTGGAGTGGAGGGATAGGGTCGTGGAGTCGGGGGATAGGGTCGTGGAGTGGGGGATAGGGTCCTGGAGTCGGGGGGATAGGGTCGTGGAGTCGGGGGATAGGGTCGTGGAGTCGGGGGATAGGGTCCTGGAGTCGGGGGGATAGGGTCGTGGAGTCGGGGGGAAAGGGTCATTGGAGTCCTGGTGCGGGAAAGGGCACAGCTGCCGAGTTCTGAATAATCTGCAATGAACTCCAATCCGATCGGCAATAACAGAGTCCGTTGTTCCGCAGCGGCTTCAGGTCGAGAGGGGATGAAGAAGAACACTTTGAGACGAAACCGAACACTCAGCGTGCGGGGATTTGCCACTGCACGTCCCGGAGAGGAGAAAAGAAGACTAATTTATTAGTCAAGTAATGAAATAATAATAATCCTTATATTTATATTAAAATTAAAGAGGGGGGGGGGGTTGAGAAAGAAAAAAAAACATGTTTCCGCCCGGTTTCG